AATTTTTAAAAAATTATATCTTTATACCATACTTATATATTTTTGTAAAATTGCTTTCTCTTTTGTTATATCTCCAATATTTTAACAAATTATTCTCAACAATTAAATATTTATTAATTACGCACACACACTACTTGATATTGTAGTGTTTGATTCTGACAAAATATATTTTACTTTTACATAATTTAATACCCAAGTATAATTCCTCGGATTCAAGTTCACATCGAGGGGACCTAATTCCTCGAAATTTCCATAACTCGTTGAAGATCCACCTGGTCCACCTTGCAACCAGATGATTAACGGTTTGTCGTAATACGAATTAACCTTTGCCGTGGTATAATAAAGCCACCAAAACATGTTAGCGTTGGGGCGCACTTGAACATAATTCCATTCTTGTTCTCCAGGGCCGAACCCTTTTCTTCCTTTTGTCAGAAAATTTTTAATTATTAATAAAGGTAAATAAATAATTGTGTCAACATCTTCTTTTATTCATCTTCTTTCATAATTTTTTATTTAAAAAAGGATTTATAGTTAAGGAATAATAGTACAATATGTACAAGCAAGTCATTTTTCAAGAAAACGTATAAACTGTAGAGGGTAATTTTTTCATGATTTAAATACATGGTGTAATATTTGCGATATATTAGATTGGAAATCATATTAATTTTCTGCACCGATCTTCACAACGAAACGGCTCAGCTGTTAACAATGATTCGAAAGTCGGTGACGCGAAGACGAGTAGCTGAAACGGCATATATTTGTCAAGCGAAGACCTAGGTAAATTTGCAAAGTTTTAAAAGAAATCGTAAAATAAATGTTCCCGCGTCACTATGGTAAAAGCTAGAAATGCATGTTGAGCACTTTGACGTTTACTTGCACCAAAATTCGGCAAACTCGCAGCAAGTAAAAACATGCATGAACATACAGAATGCTTAAAATTTAACAGCCTAATCCATGCCACTACGTTCTAAGAGTTTAAGAAAAAGAAAATATTTGATAAACATATTCCAAAAATGCCTTATTCAGATTACAGGGAGTTAGCAAGGAAACATATAGTATTATCTATATTATATGTTTCAATGAAAAAGTGAAGTTTGAAGTACTAATCACTTTTATCAATCTAATTTATCATACAATATTAAAGCGATTAATTAATTCTGTATCTTTCAAAATCAATGATATTAATCAAGCGAAAATATCTTTATCTTTATCTTTCAAGATCACTGAACATCACATTGTTATATTTTTATTTATAGAGAAAATGTGTATACAAACAACAATAAATTTTAAAATGGTATTGTAACTTCTCAATAAGTATTTTTAATATGGCACAAAAAACTTTTGCAGTAAAACGTAAATAAATAAATTTTTTTTGCTATTATGTCTTATGTCTCTATTATGATTGACTGATTATGATTGTCTCATTGCTTACTGTTACTGCTTCACATTCTTTTGTGTGTTGTAGCTTTTACACATATTTATAACGTAAGATATCTTTGTTATTTTTACTCAAGAAATAATTGCTTGTTACGTGACTGTCTAAATTTTTATAAACCTAAAAAATATACAATTATAATTCGTATCGAACCGAGAATAAATAGATTAAGAGAATAAATTGAGAAATAAATAAATATAGATATGTATATGAATTTGTTTTAAAATATTTAAGCACCAAAATCCACTTTGACAAAATAATAAGTTCTTTTTCTTAACAATTTAAAAAGTAGGTATATACACAATTAATGTGTTTCATAAACTTACATACTTTTTCAAAAATAGGATTTTTAACTGTTACAAAATCTACTATTGACTATTAGCTTGTCATTAATTATATGTTTATACTTTGCTGCATTATCGTGTAATGTGAATGTAACTGTGTGACAAAATTTATTAGACCGAAGATTAACTCATCCCACGTCACAGCACACTTTATCCTAGAGATGTCCAATGGACGTCAATTTAGGATATCGTGATAATTTTGTGATATCCGATGAATGATCCCAAGATATCCAACGGATATTCAACATGTGTGAGATCCTACGGACGTCTTAAACGACGTTCGTGAGATGTCCAAGGAACTCCATGAGATATCACAAGTATATATTCATGTGTGTATATATGATTGTTATCTAAAATAAAAGGGAAATGTTTTAAGATATCATATAAAAGAAGCGAGAAATATATATATGTCCCGTTATTACATAATGAAATAAAAGATTAATTGGAAATAATATATGTCAGATCTTGTAATTTATATATTCTTAAGTGACGTTCGGAAACATTATCCGAGTACCTCTGTGTTGTTTTATCCTTGTTATTCATCCATGTTAAACAAGGATAAAATAATACACGGGGCAACCGGATAATGTTTTCGAATACAGCCTTAGTATAACATTTAGTATAATAAAAATCTTTGTAAGTTTTATATGAGATATTGTATATCTTAATTGGGGCATGCTGTACGTCGTATCGTTGGTGTCCAAAATGACTATGATATTCTTTACTTCTAATATTTTAATTCTGACACTCTGCAACTGTAAACCATTGCTGTATTCTAGACATCCTTAGGACATTTGGAGAACTGTGTTGGGAGAATTTGAATATGGTAAGATATTTTAAGATATTAATAGGATATCTTACTATACTAGAATGAATTAGTTTGTAGGTATTATAATTATAAAATTAATTTGTCTCTGAAGATGACTAAAAAATGAGCCGAAACTTGTAAGCGGGTTATTTAATAAAGACTTTTGTGTTGTATCCACATTGTTTGTTTTGCGGAACAATTATCGCGCCTGGCTTTTATTGCCCTATTTTACCTAGTTTCTTTGGGATGTCTTACAATGTTTTACGATATTTTCTTTGTCCCGGATGGGATATCCATGGAATCGCTTTGTTAATTTGGGACAATTTGGGATATCCTCAGGATAAAAAGTGTACTGTATGGGATCTTACCAATGCTGCCAGAAACAAGGCACAACACGGCAAAAGTATAAGCAAGTGGAACTCGCATCGTTGTTTCATGCAGTGAAACTTTTCGAAAACTAAAACTGCTGCGAGTAATGTATACGATTTTATAGTCTTTTGTTTATCACAAACCACACAATTTATATCAGTCGCATTCCATTGATAAAATAAAATAAGAGCTTCGCTTTCAATGTTTCCTTTCTTCTGGCTTTATTATCAGTTATCTTCAATTAATCTTTGGATAAATCAAAAGCTCATTATAAACCGCACGTCTATCTTTCATTGTAAACTTTACTATATTTATCGATTTGTAACAAATAATGGACTGCGATCAGTTCCTCTATTTACAATATTTAACACTGCACAGTTTTATAGAAAATAGTGATAAAAGCGCAAATTTTTATAATCTATAAAGAATAATTTATTATTATTTATTGATTTTATATTATAATTAAATTATATATATTTCTTTACGTTATATATAAAGAGTCTTCACATCGTTGTTATATATATTTCTGTAAAAAAAATCACAGTTAGTTTTTAAGCAGAAAGTGTTATACTTTGGGGATACATTGGCTGGGTTCCAGAATTGACTGCCAGAATCGAAAATCTATAGTGCACGTAATGTAAACTATAGCATTTTCAATGCTGACAATAAATTTGGAACACAGCCATTGTTGGTTGAAAAAAATATCACAAAGTTAAACATTATTAAGATGATTTTTTTCTTTTATATTATTTTACTATCAAAATAAATATAGAAAGTTTCGTAAAAAATTCATTTTTTTTTTTTTTTTTTACCATTTTGATTCTCTATTCAGCATTACCTATTTTCTGTGGCTGAACCAGTGTACATTTTTGGAACTTAAAGTGAAATAGGTACATATTTATCGAAAGCGAGAAAGAGAGTTTTAATGCAGTTTAGTGCAGGAACAAAAAAGAGACCATAAGTCACGTTTCAAAATGCTCATGAAAGTCTTTAATATATATACATTAAATGCGTTCTGTTATTTTGCAGTATTAGATGCTATATGTATTTGATTGCCTTGCTTTTGAGTAAAACGCATTCGCTTAAAAGATACTCTACTTAAGTGATATCTACAGATATTGAATTGAGAGATTCACACATTATATGTACATGCATTAAAGTTGATCCTATCTCTAATAGCGACGTAACTCGCTGATTCAGAACCAATAGAAGGATTTAACATTCCGCTTATGGTACATAAGCATCGACCACGGAAAATAGTTACGAAGGAGAAAGTAGCGCCGTCATCGTTCAAGCATTTGGCCGTATGCGATGATAAAAAGAAAAAAGAAAAAAAATAAAGAAAGGAAAAAAGAGAAAGATCGAAGAAAACACTGTACACATCAAGACGTGCGATGAAATGAGAAAACACGAAGCAAGTGAAAAAGAGGAGACACATTCTCTCCTTTCGTGTTTATTAATTTGATTATCCCATTGCTGTTCACAAAGTCATCGACCCAAATTGACTTTCTTTGTTCGGGCTTTAACGATACTCGGAAAATTGTGCGTCGAGAGAACACATAAAGAAGAATCGTTTTTTTCCTGATAATTTCCGAGCAATAAAGCGGTCACGCCCACGAAGAAAGCAATAGTACAAACTCGTTAGGCATTACATCACTACAAAAGAAAAAAAAAACAAGAGAGAGAAAATCCAGGTCGAGGTAATATATTTTTTACAATAAATTGTTAAATTTTTAAAGATTCTTATTAGCATAAAATTATAAAATATTAATATTCTTATAAGATGCTTATTAGAATTATTAAATTGTTTGTCAATTTAATATGTAATATTATGACTCTAGTTCTGTTCATTGCATTTCAAGACTTAAACAAATTTTGGCTCGCGACTTACAGAATTAAGTAAGTGTAATATAAGTACGTACAATGAGTACAAAAAGTATTTATGCAGAGAAAATATTTTTTAAAAAAACTTTATTTTGAAAAAGTAAATATTATCCAGTGAGAAATGAGTCGATATAAATTTGATGATTTTAACACCAATTTGACGTCGATTTTAATCAACGATCATTTCTTGTTGGATAATTAACAATTTGTTCATAAAGAATAAAATAGACTGTATGTTTCTTAAAATTATATATACCAAAATGTGTATTAACTATATATAAAATATATCACCCGAAAAATAAGCGAAAATTAAAAATTGTATTATTTGAATGCTCAAAAAGTATTCGTACAGACGAGAAATTTAACTTCTAAAATCAGGAGTGCATGCAAAGCTCGTTTGTTTATATTAGAACAGAATGTATTCATTGTATAAAATTGCTAATTAATGTTTACTTTCTACAAATAAGGCTTTTTTTATAACAAATTTCCTTGTGCGAATTTTTGCTTTTACTGTATATAAATTCACGAAATAATTTAAGCGTTACTCAAGGAACACACCAAAAAGTTAAGAGAAAATATAAATAAGTTTATTTTGACGTTATATAAAAGTCAAAATAATAATTTCTAGTTACAAAATGGTTTATTGACAGTAAGAATAAAAAAAAATTTTTAACCGTTTTATTAATTTTGTCAAATTTGCATTTAATTTCTTTACACTGAGGATGACCTAATAATAAGATCAAAATGTATGTTCTAAGAATTTGAATTACATAAAAATCTGGCTTGTAGCCCCTCTTGTTATTTATTATTATCTTGTTATTATTTAAAATAAAGTCATTTTAATTTTTTGTTGGCTTTTGTGTATTCCTTGGGTAAGGCTGGTTAATAGTTTGATCTTTGATTTCTTATATTCAAGAATTTCTTATACTTTAAGAATTCTTATATTTAAGACTGTCTTAAGTACAGTTTTAAGATGTAAACCAATTACAGACGATGTTCATTATCAATTCTTGTATTTAAGACTATCTTAAATACAAATCTTAAGATGTCATGAATCAATCAAGCCTTATGAACATTTTAAGACATTACTTAAAACGATTATAAGATAACCGATCTTAAGAACGGGCTATGAATGCGGCTTGAGAAAATAGGATCATTTCTCTTAATTAAAAAGAAAAAAAGAGAGAGAGAGAGAGAGAGAGAGAATGAGAAAAAGTGATGAGTGAAATTATCGAATTCGCATGGAAGCCTAATTAAGTCTTCCATTGCGAGAAATTCTTTTCCGTTCTCAGAGAGACTTTTGCGAAAGAGGCTCGATCCATTCGCACGTTTACGCGAACATACACGCACGCGTCCGCCAATTGCTACTTAATTGACATTCGTCCCACGTGCTTCGCCAAACGCACGCGCTCCTCGCCGGTCTGTACAGTATTCCTGACAGGTTGTTCGGTCTATTACTACTCCGGAAATTATCAGCGTTGTCAGAGGCATGAAAAGGCCCCGTAGACTCTCTCGATTCTGTCGAAATCGGGAACGTGCGGATGTAGCATGGACTACGCGCACTGTGCCTTGCGTAGCCCATCTGTTTATTCAGAACGACCGTTTGCACGGTTTAACATCGTAGTTACGTGGTAACTTACAAGTAAAACGCGAAATGAAATCTATACGTCGAGCGCGTACGTAATTTTTTTTTATTCGATCACAAGAAGGAACTCTATTCAACCGATATATACCGAGTCAGAAGAGAGCCTCGTGGGTTTGAACTTCGTGGCGGGGAATGAAATTGGCTCGTTAGTGGCCTAATTAAATATCGACAAGCGGTATCTAAGCAATTAGGCAGATTCATCAACTAGTGGATGTTCCGTACGGCCGAATCCAGGTAATAAAGAGATAATGGAAATAATGGCCGGCGTGGCAGGATGTAGGTGTATGAGAGAAAGAGAGGGACGATAATGAGAAGCTCGATCAATGGCTCGATCAACGATCGTTCATTCCTCCGGAAGAAGCTTGGTCCTCAATGTCGGCAGATCGTTACGGGAAACGCTCATAGCTTCCATTATGCAAATTAGTAGCAGATAACGTTAATTAATGCACCGTGTCGTTCCGCTTGTCCCATCAGACGGCTCTGTTTGCAGCTGGTGGCCTCGCGCGTCTCATCTCGCGGCGTACCAGAAGGCGTGCGCGTTTCGCGAAGACACGTATCCGGCCCAATCTCTATACCCGACTTGTGAAGAATAAACAAACTATTAAAATTCGCCAGAAATATACGTATGCTCGTACAGTGCGGCGGTCTGTTGAACGTGTCTGTTTTGCGACTTGAGAACGGGGAGATGGAGTCCTCGCGGCGCGAAAGTCGCAAAGCTGTCTTATACGTACAAATATACATTATGTTAAATATATGTTATCATACATATACAGGGTGTCACGAAGCTGGCGATAAATATTTTTAAGACAGATTCTTTGTAATATTTTCAGACGTAAAGTTTCAATACAAAAATGCTATGAGAGTCTCACACACACACACGCACATACACACACACACACACACACAAATGAAAAGAATTTGAAAATTACGAATGACAGGGCTAGAATTTCGTTCAGGGATGGTAAGATGATGAGTGTGAAGGGACTAAATTTTGTTATTGTCAAAGACATAAAGTTCGAGGGAACTGTCATAGCCTTGGCATTTTTGTATTAGACTTTTTGTCTTAAAATGTTACAAAGAGATCTTTACAATACTTATCGTGAATTTTGAGTTGAGACACCCCATATATTTTATATATAATATAATATATGGAAATTATATATACAATATATATACACACACAATATATCTTCCTATATTATAGACTTCCTAGATGAGGCTAAATATTAGCCATGTCTCACGCATGGGTGAGTACGCGAAATGCACGACGTCGCGAATCGCCGGAAGAGGAGAACTCTTCTTCCTCCATCATTATGATCAGAGAAATGGCCGCAATTAACGCGGTTATGTCTTGTTTTATCGCCTGGAAAATTTTAATGTAAGACAATCTTTAAGGCGACCCTCATTGGGCCACGGTTGGATCGCGATAATATCGCCCTTTCGTTACAGCCTGTGTAACTTTCCTTTTGACATAACGCGATTGCGACTCGCTGGCATCAGAGAGATGTGATACACGAGCGCAATTATGAAGTCACTTCACGATTACC